CACGTTCATCTACACATCCACACCTTAGAGCGCCACACGTGCCGCTTCCTCGGAAAGAACAAACCGCATTACACTTACTCCTACATTCTCTCATGCTTGTGGCACTCCCTTCAACTATCACATCATTCGTCTCAAGAGTGCAATATAGCAATTTATGTACTAGACTGTTGTTTATTAGGCAGTCGGCCATCACAGCAGGATGTCTGAGTATGATATGCCATAAAGGTGTTTATCTAGACACGTCAACAAAACTGTTAATCATTAATCGGATTATGACAGTGACATTACCGGTTCCTGACTACCTTATTCACTGTGTAGCAGGAGATAAAGTTATGTCATTAAGAAATAAGGCATCACTTTTGTGTAAGTCATTAAAGCTGTTATTACGCAAGTAGGGCAAAATGTGTCAATCGTCGCATTATTCAGGCAGATATAAAAGTGACAGAGAGAAACAGGCAGTTTATAAACACTATTTAACTCTATATCAATAACACAGTTGTGAAACAAGACAGGCCATCACAGGTTTGTTAACAATATGACGAAGCTCCAGGATACAGAAAAACACCTGAAGGTGTAAGATCTGAAAGAAGAATGCACTAATGCAGGGTTTCCCAAGATTTCCCAGGGTTCATGAGTTGGAAGCTAATATTAATTTAATCTAGGGCTGCACGATAAATCGCGATTAGACATTAGATTGTCATTCGTATTTGTGTAAGTCATTAAAGCTGTTATTACGCAAGTAGGGCAAAATGTGTCAATCGTCGCATTATTCAGGCAGATATAAAAGTGACAGAGAGAAATAGGCAGTTTATAAACACTATTTAACTCTATATCAATAACACAGTTGTGAAACAAGACAGGCCATCACAGGTTTGTTAACAATATGACGAAGCTCCAGGATACAGAAAAACACCTGAAGGTGTAAGATCTGAAAGAAGAATGCACTAATGCAGGGTTGCCCAAATGGGGGTTCATGAGTTGGAAGCTAATATTAATTTAATCTAGGGCTGCACGATAAATCGCGATTAGACATTAGATTGTCATTCGTATTTTTCAGTGAAGCACAGTTCTGTGATCAGTAGTAAATCTCCATCCGAAGGCCAGAGGGCGCTCTCGTGCTGAAACTCCAAATACGCCTGGCAGAAGAAATCCAGGAAATCCCTATAGCGGTTGCTGAATAAACAGAAGATTTAACTGCTTTCATTGATTCAACTTGACTAATAAACACACGACTACGACAATATATTATTTATCGGAGTTCTTATAATTATTATTATAATTTTCATGATAATAAAGTATATAATAATGCAATGCTAATCGACATAGTATTCTAAGCAGTGATAAAGGCTATGAAATATGTTGCATACCTTATTATTTGTAAGAAGCCACATCATCTCACAGAAGGATTTATTTCAAACACTCGACTGAAGTTATGAAATGAGTTTGGAGTAAAAACATGTTATTAAATGTGGTATTTTCACATGCTTTCAGATGGAGCAGCATTTACTTCACAGAGCTGTAGTTCACTGAGAAGCTACGCAAACAGCTGTCATTATCGCAGAACGATATCTTCGATTTCATTATTGTGCGATTAAATCGTCTGCGATAATGAACACGATACTGCGTAGCTTGTCAGTGAACTATGGCTCTGTGTAGAAAATGCTGCTCCATCTGAAAGCACGTGATGGAGATTTACTACTAATCACAGAACCAGCTTTACTAACAAGATGCGCATGACTATCGCATTTGATTAATCGTGCAGCCCTAATTCAATCGAATATAACATTAAAATAAAAAAGTGGGGTTGCACAATTAATAGGGATGTAACGATTAACCGTGAGCCGGTTGAAAATCGATTCAAATATGTGACGATTCAAATCGGTTGAGATGCTAAACAAATCGCGATTCATTTAGGGGTAGGAGTTTATATGAATGTATGTCTGAGGGGAACTTACTGTCTTTAGAAAAGTTTAGATGGTATTTTTTCTTTTCATCTTGCCTCTGTATAATGCATATTAAAGTTCATAAGTTCAGCGCTGCTTTGTTTACAGTGGAAACCAAGGAAACGCTTTAAGCGCCACCTGCTGGCAGAGAGTGAATCTGCGTCTCATTCAGATCATCTGCTGTTTCTGTTTCATGCAGATATTTTTATTTATAGTTTCAAAAAAACTGAAGTCAAACCATTCTGTTTTTGCTTTAAATTTCGAAATTATACAATCAAATTTAGTTTAAAAACTGCCCACGAGTGAATCTGCGTCTCATTCAGATCATCTGCTGTTTCTGTTTCATGCAGATATTTTTATTTATAGTTTCA